AAATAATTGCAAACCTAAAATTCTATGCTGAATAGAAACATGTATAAAGAATGAAGATAAAATAAACACATTTTCAGATCAAGAGAAAAAGAGAGTTCATCACCAGCAAACATCAATAAATTAAATGATAAAAAGAAGTGATACACATATGGATATGAATGAATTCTGCATCAGGCAGCAAAATTTGTCCTCTAGTTACCCCTCCTTCTCTGTTTTTCTCTTCCTGCTTTTCAACATCCTATAAAAAAATGTCTTGTGTAAAACATCTCTGCTTGTAATATCTAGAGGGGTTCCTGTTTTCTGCTCTGCTTCATGATTTTCTGCTGTTCTTTCTCAGTTCTTCTCCATGTGCCACTTCCTGGACCACCTTGGCTTCCTCAGGATCCAGGCCCTTCAGCTACATCTTCAGTCTCTCCCTCTCATTCTCACTCTTCCACTCCCTGATCTCCAAACAGTGTTTGCAGTTCTGACTCTCATATTCTGTGACACAGAGGAGTGTCTGGCCACTCTAAAAGGTCACTGGTGTCCTCCTCACACAGTGGACGAGCCAGGTATTTTTGGACTGAGAGGATATAAAAAAATGTCCCCGGTGATCTTTGGTTTTCCCTAAAACAAACCTTATTCAGGATAAAGCTATTGGGATATGCTGCAGGTATTATCCCCAATTTGGGGGCATGGTCTGTGAGAGATACCACCCAGTAGCTAGTTGGCACCTTGCCTCCCTCTCGGGCCTGAGCTGTGGCGAACGATGGAAGTACTATGTTTGGGGTGGTGCCAGAGTCCAGTGACTCCATGAACTCGTCCATTTTTGGAGTCTGGCTAATGTACTGCCTTCCGATGAAGCACACAGAGCTCCCTGATGCCAGCAGCACTCTCATCTCCACTCCAAACCTTCTCCATCCCCCCAGCTTCTCATCTCTTTATGCCCTCTTAGAAGCTTCTTCTAGAACATCATACCTCTAGGATACAAGTCTAACTTTGTCACTCTCTTCCTTAAAATCTTTCATTTACCTAGATGGGATTAGTATCTTTAGTAACTTCAGGACATTAACCTTTACATAAAGGATATTAAAAACTTCCAATAACTTTCTTTCTTAGGCAGAGTGAGCTTTCTAACATGGAACCTGAACCATGGCACTCCAGACCTTAGAAGCATATACCATCCCTTCCAGTCTTCTCAGGATAAAATTCACTCTTCTTAACTGTCCCTCAAGGCCCTCACCTCCTATCCAGCCTCATATGGCACTGTTCCTTACGTGTTCCACTCACTCTCAAAGTTCCAGCCACACTGGAATGATTTTAGTTCTTCAAATATTCCATCCTGTTTTCTGTACCTAGAATATCTTTCCTTCTCTTCTTGGTCTAATTCTTTCTCATCATATATTTGCTTCAACATCACATCCTCCAGGAATTATTCCTGGACTCCAAATTTGAGTGGATGCTATAGGTACTTATCTAGAGCACCGTATCCCCTTATCACACTGCACTGTAATGTGCTGGCCCATTGTGAGCATACAATAGAAACCTGTTTCATGAAATAAAGTTTAATATATGTATTTTACTATGCACCTATCATATGTCACTCTCTAGCACTGACATGACAACATCAAGCTTTTACAAGGCACCATTTATATATGTATATTATGTATATATAATATATATTAGCTAATATGTGTGTACATATTTGTACACACATATTAGCTAATATCTATATCTATCTATCTATCTACCTATCTATCTATCTATCTATGCAGCTTAGTTAAGCACTATATTTGGCAGATACTTACTCTAAAGCAGAGAGACTTTCTGGGTTATGGTATACCATATTGGGGTATAGATCACAAGAGCAAGGACCAAACCTCTGCGCACTTCATAAGGAAAGAGGTAATTATTTCAGCCCAAATACCCATACTGACCAAGTGGCTACAGTAAAGGTGGAGAGCCACAAGGCCATTCTTCCTCGAGTCCAGCAGGAGACAGAGTGAAGCTGGAAGGCTAGAGCCAGCCACAATCACCACTGGCCCAGGGAGGCAGAGGGCCAAAGGCAGGCAGAGAAGAAAGGGTGAAAGTGAAGAAACATGCATTTATTGGTGAAAAATAAATCACAGAAAACATAGGATGTGGTTGGTGGAGGAGTAGGCTATGTGTGCTTTTTAAAAGTATGTGGTTGATGAAATATGGCCACAGATTCTGAATTGAAGTATTTTCCGTCAAGAGGTGCTCTTTCCCCCGCCGCCTTAATCTGGGCTTTACCAAAGAATGTGGCAGAAATGACGCTAGGCAGGTGTCCAGAGCCAGAGCTACAAGAGGACTTGCATTTTCCCCTTTGCCCCCTTGGAATGCAGCCCTGAAGCCCCCATTTGAGGAGCTGACCTAGCTTTCTGAGGATAAGAGGCAAAGTGAGTGGTCCAAGCCACCCACAAATAGCCAGAACCAAAGGCTGGGCCTGTTGACAGCGGAGGGCAGCTCTTCTCAGAACTTCCAGCTTCGGATCCTCCAGCTGAGTGAGTGAGTCCAGGTGAAAACAGCAGAGGAACCTCCAACCAATCCACAGAATCATGGGAATTTCCATGATTTCTCCATGGAAATAATAAAGCCTTGTTTTATGTCACTGAAACTTAAAGTGGTTTGTCATGCAGCAATAGTAAACAACAAAGTTGTGTTTTGTGTCCTTTTTCTTCTTGGTGGTAAAGGCCTGAATGGAAAATAAAACAAAAGAAATTGACGGGAGGGAACATCAAAAACAGGCTGAGAATAGAAGAAATAGTTCCTGAGGAATCTTCTCTTGAATCTTCCTACTTCTACCCTCTGTATTCCCACCCCTCTAGTCATTTCTACCTCCATTCTGGTGGCTAATGGATACTTTTCATTGTTGTTATTTTTAGTTTAATTGAATGTAATGTAATCACCTAAAATAATAGTTTAGTTTAATTTGGTTTAATGTTACAGTGTTCATTGTTCAAGAGAAATTGGCCCAGATTATTCTGTGGGGGTGGTAAAGAAATGGTCAAATGAAATAACTGAAGACTGGGTATAAATGAAAGCAAGACTCATTAGAGACTCCAGGGTCTAGAGAAAGGACTAAAAGAAAGTAGCTACCAATAAATTATTTGGTGAACCTTTATTATGTGCCCATTGTAAATAGAGCAACTGCTGAAAACATCCTGCTCCAACCAGAAAAGCCAAAACATGTAGGGAAGCAGCATCAGGAAAAATACTGGAAATCAAAACATACAGCTCACTTTCCTGCAAAGTGTACAAGCTCTCCCCCAGATCTATGCAGGGCTGGCTCCTCCTGTGGACTCATTTCAATTGTCATTCCTCAGCGAGGTCTCCCTGACCACCAAGGTAAGGTATCTCCCCATCTCTGTCCCAGGACCCTGTCTCCTGGCCTTCATACCACTTATAATGCTTCTCTGTGTTTTCTTTCTTCCCTCACTGGAGAGAGCTGCATGAGGCTGAGCCCTTATTTGTCTTGTTTGCTGCTGTAGCTCCAGCTCTTTGAAGCGCCTGGCACACAAGAGATGCTTAATCAATGTTTACTCACCATAAGTGAATAAAAAACAAAAAAAAACAAATTAATAAAGGGAAACTTCACTAAAATGGAGTCAGGAGGCCAGAGGGGGAGCTCTCACTCAATGTCAATACAGATCCCAACAGAAAGAGATGGTATCTTGCATCTCCTGCAGGAAGCGACACTACTATCACCAGCAAGATTTTCTTCTCGCAACAGCTCAGCCAATGAAAGACGGTCACAACTCAGACAATATTTGTTCATAACAACCCCTCCTAACTTCCCCTTCTCCTCTATAAAAGACTTCCCTCTCCTTTGTTTTACCAGACTTGCATGTGGTTTGCCATAGTTGCACGTCCCAAACTACAATTCTTTGCTGCTCAGGAATAAACCCATTTTGCTGTTAAAAAAAAAAAAAAATTATCCTTTTTCATGAAATTACTTTTTCCTTCTCCAAACCCAGTTCAGACTGCACTCCCCTGGAAGCTCTCCCTCCTTCGGGCTCCCCCACGCTCCCCGTTAACTATTTTTATGTGACCAAGCTCCTCCGCAGTTCTGTGTTCACAACTCTGTCTCCCATGCGGGGTAGTAAGCAAGTGTAACTCAGCTTCAATTCAAGCACTACTAGGTCCTCACCAAGTGAAGAAAGGAAGACTGGTAGAGGGGATAAGCCAGTCTACGCCAGTCTGCCTGATTTCAAAACATGGTTTTGCTGCTTGCTAGTTGTTAGGTGAGTTTCTTGACCTTTCTCTGACCCAATTTCCTCATCCTTAAAATGGGAGTAATAATACTTAACAGATAAAATGATTATGAGGACTTAATACATGTAGAGTGCATTGAACAATGCCTGGCCCATAATAAGGATTTTTTTTTAACATCATTAACTTGGAATCTTTATTCTTGATGATTTTGTAATAGGCTTACCCTTAGTTTGGTTAAGCAAACTCTCATTTGGCTATGAGAACTCATTCAAATTTGCTAGAGAAACTATGATGATAAAATTATACAGCAATCTGGGAAAAATACCCATGAAATAACACAACTTTTTGTAAAACTGTCAGGTTTCAATTCCAGTAACCCATAAGACAGGGCTTAAAGCCTGTTCATAATCACATCATTCCAAAATGAGGAGCTATTGCCAGAAACGTTTTATGGGGTGGGAAAAGGAATAAAAGATGGTCAGTGCTGATAAATACTGGTTTAATGATACAGTGCTCTTCACAGACGGCTACAGAGACTGTAAACTATTATCCAGAAACATACAACCATACAACACAGACCACTTAGCCAGACCTAAATTAAACTGGCTTCTTGTAACTACCCTGTAAACACTACAGCCCTTCCTCCATCCAAAAATGACCCTAATCTTTCATGAAAACAGTTACTGTAGGGAAATCAGAAACCCAGCTTTGTGGCCAAAAGTAAAAACCAAAGGAAAAATAGCAATTCAGTGGTTAGCTGGTGAAAGCGGGAAACCTGGTGCCCTTCACTGCGCTGCTTTGCTCTTCTTACTCTGGCTCTTTTTCAGCCCATCCATGTTAGCTCTCAATAGGTTTGAACAAGCCATCTGAAACGTATTCACTTCTTTGGAGCTCACCACAGTGCTGATCTTTTTCCCATCAGTAGCTCTTAACAGACACTTGTTTTCTGAGGGCTCAAAGCCCTCCACAGAACCCTTCCTTGGAATGGGTTTAGTTCGACCATCATACTTCTTCAGGGTGATGCACACGCTGCCCGACAACCGGCGCTTCTGGAAGAGCCTGGTCAGCTCCGTCAGGAACTGCTCTCTCTCCAGAAGCACCATCCTGGTGCTGCTGGCTCCACTCTGTCAGCATAAGCCCCAAGCCCCATAATAAGGATTTAAACACAATTCATTATTTAAAAAATTCTATTGCAAGGAAAACTAATCATTTAAATTATTTGAAACTGAGCAGTAACAATTTTGGCATAAATCTGTGTGGCATAGACAGACTAAAAGAATATAAGGGGAAATAACCGAGTCAAGTGAATGCTGTGGAAATAACAGTAATCTCTTTAATGACACAGATAAGACCCGCTTCCCCTCTGTGCCCATCCCCCCACCATCTCCACCATGAGGCAGTTCACACTGGTTGCATTAAGCTCCACGGAGACTATCCACACATCTCAGGTTCTCCATGCCCGAGCATACACGTGACTCCTGCCCACAACAGGGAGATCAAACCCCTCAAGGGACTCTAGCCTGGCTTCCACCAGAGGAGACGCTTAAAATACCTCCCCAGCTCATTGCACAAGTTAACCACTTAGAAAAGACTTACTATTTACAAAATTCTCAAGAGCCACCAAAGAGCACGAGCACAAAAAGCAAACAGGGCAGGCATTGCCTCACTGTCATGGTTGGTGCTGATCACTGCAGGGCGTCCTTGCCCCCTGGACCATCACTGCACACACAGAAAGAGGTCCGTGTCTCCTGCATTGGTGAATGCATTGGTTAGAGGATACGTATTATAGAGGATAGCAGGGCCTGCCCCCAAGGTTGCTCCCATCCTTGGGGGCTGCTGACCCCAAGCAGCCAGATATCTGGGAGGCATAGGTCATGTACACGAAGCCATCCTCATCCTTGTAGTCCCTGTAGATCTCTGCCATGGTCACATTCATACTTCCGAAGTTCTTGTTGTTCACCAGCAAGTAAAATGATTCAGTGGCCCCAAGGACCATGCGGCTCCTGGGTTGCGGAAAAGGGTGTGTGTGGGGGGGGGGGCAGGAAGGGAAAAAGTTAACCTGGAAGGGAATGACCCCTGATCCATAGCCTTTCTTACCTCTGTCTGGCTAGTGTCTGGCCGTATCGACCCAAGATGCCCCCACCTCCCCGCTCTAGCCCAGTCATCCTCAAACTTTAGATTGTTTTGATAGCAGAGCAAGCTGAATCTGTTGGTAATGGCTAGCCCTATCTAACCACCCTAAGACCATACATTAGAGGCACAGCCAGTACACCCCCAGTTTCAGCTAGGAGGGGCTAAATTTATGTTGTGGGTGGGAGAGGAAATAGTTTCAGAACGTGGTTAACCAACACTGGATAATCCAAAGCCCTGCCACAAAGGGGAAAATATTTAGAGGTAAAATGCTGTCACTGGGCTTTTAAAATCTTGAAAACAGAGGGCTTTGGACTATTTTCCAAAGATTCCTTTGAAAAATTCTTAGAGAAATTTGAAGACAGAAATTAAAACACAGTACCACTAAAATGTTGAAGCAAAAGAAAATATAGCTGGTACATCAAAATTGGGAGCTCTCACTTATTTTAGTGTTGTAGCAAGGTAATGGACATCTTTTTAAAATTGGTTGATCATGAGATCATCCTTTTTAAAGGCAGAGTTGAAGAGAAAAGGTGAAGCACAAATCCTTCTCCTTGTCTCTCTGCCATATCCCATCTCTCATTGTTCCAAAAAGCCCAGGGCCACACAGCACACACCCGCATGAGCACTTTGTTACCTACCGGATGACACTGAGGAACTGGGTCATGGTCAGCTCCTGTGTGACCAGGAACTTGGTCTTGTCCAGTGAGGGCAAGAGCTTCTCCCTGGGATAGCGCTCCACTGTCACCTGTCAAGAGCTTCGACCTTCATCTCTTCTGAAGAAACTGCCAAAGAATACACCTCAGTCCTCTATATCTTAGGAACTTGGAATAGAGAGAAGGAAGTCATTGGCTGGGTTCTTTTTTTGTGAACTTTTGAATTCTATTTATTTTTTTATACAGCAGGTTCTTATTAGTTATCTATTTTATACATATTAGTGTATACATGTCAATCCCAATCTCCCAATTCATCACACCACCATCAACCCCCCGCCCCCCACCACTTTCCCCCATTTGTGTCCATACATTTGTTTTCTACATCTGTGTTTCTATTTCTGCCCTGCAAACCAATTCATCTGTACCATTTTTCTGGTTCCATATATATGCGTTAATATACGATATTTGCTTTTCTCTTTCTGACTTACTTCACTCTGTATGACAGTCTCAAGATACATCCAAGTCTCTATAAATGGCCCAATTTCATTCCTTTTTATGGTTGTGTAATATTCCATTGTGTATATGTAACACATCTTTTTCTTTAAAACATCTTTCTTGAAGTATAATTGCTTTATAATGGTGTGTTAGTTTCTGCTTTATAACAAAGTGAATCAGCTATACATATACATATATCCCCATATCTCCTCCCTCTTGCATCTCCCTCCCACCCTCCCTGTCCCACCCCTCTAGGTGGTCACAAAGCACTGAGCTTATCTCCCTGTCCTATGTGGTTGCTTCTGACCAGCTATCTATTGTACATTTGGTAGCATATATAAGTCCATGCCACTCTCTCACTTCATCCCAGCTTACCCTTCCCACTCCCCGTGTCCTCAAGTCCAATTTCTACATCTGAGTCGTTATTCCTTTCTTACCCCTAGGTTCTTCAGAAACTTTTTTTTTAGATTCCATATATATGTGTCAGCATATGGTATTTGTATACTCTTTCTGACTTACTTCACTCTGTATGACAGACTCTAGGTCCATCTACCTCACTACAAATAACTCAGTTTCATTTCTTTTTATGGCTGAGTAATATTCCATTGTATATAGGGGCCACATCTTCTTTATCCATTCATCTGTCGATGGATACTTAGGTTGCTTCCATGTCTTGGCTTTTGTAAATAGAGCTGCAATAAACATTGTGGTACATGACTCTTTTTGAATTATGGTTTTCTCAGGGTATATGCCCAGTAGTGGTATTGCTGGATCATATGGTAGTTCTATTTTTAGTTTTTTAAGGAACCTCCATACTGTTCTCCATAGTGGCTGTATCAATTTACATTCCCACCAACAGTGCAAGACGGTTCCCTTTTCTCCACACCCTCTCCAGCATTTATTGTTTGTAGGTTTTCTGATGATGGCCATTCTGATTGCTGTGAAGTGATACCTCATTGTAGTTTTGATTTGCATTTCTCTAATGATTAGTGATGTTGAGCATCCATTCATGTGTTTATAATAATATAAGATATAAGAATATTCTTATATCTGCTTCTGTGTTTGATCTGTTATGAAATGTTGCTTTGGTTGAGTTATATGAAGAAAATCTGGCCCCACATGTATTTGTAATTGGAAAATGCATTTTAGCATAATAGCATTTTTATTTAATTGTAATTTTTCTTCTTTTATTTTACACCAAAATTCAACAAGTGGTAGTTTCTTAAAAGTTAGTTGTAATGTAGAATATGAAACCATATAAATTGACTTTTTATACTCTGTGTAACATTACAGTCCATTGGTCCATATTGTACTTTGTCTGCATCTTTTACTCATGCATGATTTTATAACATTGGCATTGATTATTTGGAAAATGTGGGTTTATTGAGCTGTGCTTATCTTGTGATTTTGTCTGTATAGCTTTGCTTTTACCATTTGTCCTAGGGTTCTTCCGTCCAATTTTTTTGTTTTAATATAATGTTTAGTGCTTGATATCATTGGTGGATTTGTTTGTTGGTGTGGTTGCTCTCTTCTTTCATTCTGTTTAAAAAAAAATTTATATTTCTTATTTTAATAACTTCATTTTATGTTATTTTAGTTTTTTCTTTCCTTCTTTCTTTTTTTGTCCCTTTTCTTCTGAGCTGGGTGGCTGACAGGGTCTTCATGCTCCAGCCTGGTGTCAGGCCTGTGCCTCTGAAGTGGGAGAGCCAAGTTCAGGACATTGCTCCAGCAGAGACCTCCCGACTCCATGTAATATCAAATGGCGAAAGCTCACCCAGAGACCACCATCTCAACGCTAAGCCCCAACTCCACTCAATGACCAGCAAGTTACAGTGCTGGAAACCCTATGCCAAACAACTAGCAAGACATGAATACAACCCCACCCATTAGCAGAGAGGCTGCCTAAAATCATCCTAAGTTCACAGACACCCCAAAACACACTGGTGGATGTGGCCCTGCCCACCAGAAAGACAGGACCCAGACCCACCTACCAGAACAGTCACCACTCCCCTCCACCAGGAAGCCTACACAACCCACTGAATCAACCTTAGCCACTAGGGGCAGACACCAAAAACAATGGGAACTATGAACCTGCAGCCTGTGAAAAGGAGACCCCAAACACAGTAAGTTAAGCAAAATGAGAAGACATGGAAACACACAGGAGATGAAGGAGCAAGGTAAAAATGCACCAGACCAAACAAAAGAAGAGGAAATAGGCAGTCTACCTGAAAAAGAATTCAGAGTAATGATAGTAAACATGATTCAAAATCTTGGAAATAGAATGGAGAAAATACAAAAAACGTTTAACAAGGACATAGAAGAACTAAAGAGCAAACATAAAATGATGAACAACACAATAAATGAAATTAAAAATTCTCTAGAAGGAATCAATAGCAGAATAACCGAGGCAGAAGAACGCATAAGTGACCTGGAAGATAAAATATTGGAAATAACTACCACAGAGCAGAATAAAGAAAAAAGAATGAAAAGAATTGAGAATAGTCTCAGAGACCTCTGGAACAACAGTAAATGCACCAACATTCGAATTTTAAGGGTCCTAGAAGAAGAGAAAAAGAAAGGAACTGATGAGATATTTGAAGAAATTATAGTTGAAAACTTCCCTAATATGGGAAAGGAAAGAGTCAATCAAGTCCAGGAAGTGCAGAGAGTCCCATACATGATAAATCCAAGGAGAAACACACCAAGACACATAATAATCAAACTATGAAAAACTAAATACAATGAAAAACAGGAAATAATGTACAAGGGAATCCCCATAAGGTTAACAACTGATTTTTCAGTGAAACTCTGCAAGCCAGAAG